GGGAATTGGAGTGTTGACCCTGCCCCCATTCCCATTGGGAATTGGAGTGTTGACCCTGCCCCATTCCCATTGGGAATTGGAGTGTTGACCCTGCCCCATTCCCCTGTGGAATTGGGGTGTTTACCCAGGCCCATTCCCATTGGGAATTGGAGTGTTGACCCTGCCTGCATTCCTGACCACAATTGGAGTGTTGACCCTTCCCCCATTCCCATGGGGAATTGGTGTCTTGACTCTGCCCCCATTCCGCTGGGGAATTGGAGTGTTGACCCTGCTTCCATTCCCACGGGGAATTGGAGTGCTAACACAGTGATGCTTGATTTTGCAGTTCAGTGAGTCAAGGAAGATGCTACGGAGTTGGATCGATGAAATGGATCAGCGTCTGGAGGTTCAGAAGGACAGTGCTGTTGACAACAATGACATTAAACAGCAGCTCGCCCAGCATCAGGTCAGTGTCCTTGCAGCTGTAATATGGCAAGTCACCAAAGTTCCATAGCACTGCTCCCTCATTACAGAGGGAGATGACAAGTGATAGTTTAACCTGAGGTTCACCACACCACATACAAAGGCAGAGGTTCAGAAGTAGAGTCCTTCATGGTAAACTCAGGTTGGTGCAGGAATTGATTAAAAGATAGAAAATAACACTGAACAACTTGGAATTGTTAACAATAATATCTGAGTAATAATCCAATGATTTGGCAATTGTTTATTTCTGGTGAAACTATCACTCACCGACTGACAAGAAATAATAGAATCAAATATTGATCCAGCCAAGGGAAAGGCCAAACGCTGTGCCTATGTAAGAAATGGCCAATAGTCTCCCCAAAGCCTACCTACCAATTACAAGGCACCATGTACACACACCTGGTGCCCCATTCATCCCCCTGGGTGCCGTGTTCACTCCCCACATGCTCCATTAACCCCTGTGTGCCCCGTTCACTCCCCGTGTGCCCCGTTCACTCCCCGTGTGCCCCGTTCACTCCCTGTGTGCCCCGTTCACTCCTAGTGTGCCCCGTTCACTCCTAGTGTGCCCCGTTCACTCCTAGTGTGCCCAGTTCACCCCCCGTGTGCCCCATTCACCCCCATTCACTCCCCATGCACCCTGTTCACCCCCCAATGTGCCCCATTCACACCCCCTGTGCGCCCCATTCACAACCCCTGTGCGCCCCGTTCACCCCCCGTGCGCCCCGTTCACCCCCCATGTGCCCCGTTCACCCCCGGTCACACCCCATGTGCCCCGTTCACCCCCGGTCACTCCCCGTGTGCCCCGTTCACCTCCCCACGTGCCCCGTTCACCCCCCATCCACCCCATTCACCCCCGTTCACTCCCCGTGTGCCCTGTTCACCTTCCCTGTTCACCCCCTGTGTGCCCCGTTCACCCCCGTTCACTCCCCATGCGCCCCATTCACTCCCCATGTGCCCCATTCACTCCCCGTGCGCCCCGTTCACCCCCCGTGTGCCCCATTCACCCCCTCATGCTCCGTTCATCTCCGTGTGCCCCATTCACTCTCACAGTGTACCACAAACATTATTTTTAATGTAAAAATATAAGAATTCTTGTCTTTTGAATTCAGGAATTACAGAAAGAACTGCAAGGGAGAAGGGCAGATTATGAAGTGACACTGAGAATTGGGCAGGTGTTAATGGACAAGGCGAAACATCCAGGAGATTGTGAATTGCTGCTGGCGCTAGTGACAGACCTGAGTGAACACTGGAACAGCCTGAATGGCAAATCTCTTCAGAGGTAGTGATACACCTTCACGGACCAAACACCCCGAGAATCCTCTGTTGCTCTCGGCTTCCTAGTGCTCTGCCATTGAGTTTTCCATTGTCTTGTTCTTTCTTTCAAAGTGCATCACTTCATTATTATCAGGGTTAAATTCCATCTGCCATTGATCTACCCATCTGACCAACTAGGTTATATTGTCCTGTAACCAAAGACCTTCCTGCTCATTGACATCCACCCGGCCAATCTTTCAATCATTTGCAGAACTGTTTATCAACATCCTCATCTACATCATCTATATAAATCATAGACAACATGACACCCAGCAGCGGGGACCTTACTGGACCCAATGACACACTGCTGCACACTGTCTGCCATTCGATAAAAGACCCATTTAGTCTGACTTGGTTTCCTGTCTGCCAATCAGTTCTCTATCCATATCAGTACACTTCCCCTATTCTCATGTGCTTTAATTTTACACACAAATCTCTTCCGTGGGACTTCACTGAAACTTTCTGAAAGTCCAACCAAGCCTCATCCACTAGATCCCCCTCATCAACATTACAATTTACTTAGAACATAGAACTGTACAGCACAGGAACAGGCCCTTCAGCTCACCATGTTGTGCTGAACACAACACCAAATTAAACTAATCTCTTCTGCCTGCCCTGGGTCCATATCCCTCCATTCCTTGCATATTTATGTGCTTATCTAAAAGTCTCTTATATGCCCTTATCGTATCTGCCTCCACCACCACCCCGGCATTGCATTCCAGACTCCTACTGCCCTCTGTGTAAAAAAGCTTACCCCTCACAGGCTTGAAGAATTCTAGTAGATTTGTCAGCTGTGATTTCCCTCTTGTAAACCCAGGCTGACTCTGTCTGATCCTATTTCTGTTTTCCAAACGATCAGCTGTTAAATCTTTCACAATGGATTGTAGTATTTTCCGCACTACTGACCTTAGGCTGGCTGGTCTTTAATTCCTGGTTTTCTCTCTGCCTTCCTTCTTAAATAGTGGGTTTACATTAACTCCCCTCCAATTCGTAGGAAATGTACTAGAGTCTATAGAACCTTGAAAGATTACCAATGCATCCACTATTTCTCAGAGAGTCATAGAGGTCTACAGCATGGAAAAAAGCCCTTCAGCTCAACTTGTCCATGCTGCCCAGCTTTCACATTTAATCTAGTCCCATTTGCCTGTGTTCGGTCCATATCCCTCCATTCCTATCCCATCCATGTACCTGTCTAAATGTTTCTTAAATGACAAAATTGTACTCTTCTCCACCACTACCTCTGGCAGCCTGTTCCAGACACTCACCACACACTGTGTCAACAAATTTCCCCTCTGGACCCTTTCACCCCTCTCCCCGTTCACCTTAAACTTATGCCTTCTTTAGTTTTAGACTCCCTTACCATGGTGAAAAGCTGTTAGCTATCTACTTTACCTCTGCCCTTCATGATTTTATAGACCTCTATAAGGTCACCCCTCAGTCTCCTGTGCTCCAGTGAAAAAAGTCCCAGCCTATCCTTGTAAGTCAAACCTTCCAGTCCAGGTAACATCCCACTAAATTCTTTTCTGTACTCTTTCTAGTTTAATAATACTTTTTAGTCGTGTGACCAGAATTGCATGCAGTATTTCAAATGTGGCCTCACCAACGTCTTGTACAGCTGCAACAAGACATCCCAACTCCGATACACAATGCTCTGACTGATGAAAGCAAGCATACCAAAAGACTTCTTCACCACACCGTCTACCTATGACTCCACTTTCGAGGAGCTATGAACTTGTACTTTTCGATTTCTTTGTTCTCTAACACTGCCCAGGGCCCTATCATTCATTAAGTCCTGCCATGGTTTGTCTTACCAAAATGCAACAACTTCCATTTATCTACATTAAACTCCGTCTGCCATTCCTCAGCCCACTGGCCCAATTGGTCAAGATCTTGCTGTATTCCCAGAAAACCTTCTTCACTGTCCACTATACTGCCAATCTTGGTGTTATCCGCAAACTTACTAATCATATCTCCTAAATTCTTTTCTATATCATTTATATAAATGATGAATAACAGTGGACACAGCACCAACCCCTGTGGCACACCACTGCTCACAGGCCTCCTGTTTGCAAATCATACCTCTACCATTACCCTCTGTCTTCTACCATCAAGCATTTGTCTAGCTCTTCCTGGATGCTGTGAGAATTAACCTTACTCTACAATCTACCATGCAGTACCTTGTCAAAGGCCTTGCTAAAGTCCATGTAGACAACATCTACCACAATGGTCTCATCTACTTTCTTGGTCACCCCTTCATGTCACAAGTAGTCCAGACCAGGTAAGAATGGCAGTTTCCTTCCCTAAAGGATATTAATGAACCAGTTGGGTTTTCCCTGACATTCCACAATGGTTTCATGGTCACCATTAGATTCTTAATGGTAGGATATGAACCCAGGTTCCCAGAAGTCCCCCACTCTCTCAAACACACAGAAATAGGTTCCAGGGCAACTAGGGATGGGCAATAAATTCTGGCCCAGTCGGTGATGCCTATGTCCCATGTCGGAATAAAAGAGGTATAACAAACAAGGGGGACCTTTTTGTTTGAAATTTCTGTATCCATGACTGAAATACTGTGTCTTTTTTTTGTTACGACAATGATTTCAATTCTCTTGATTCAGGGACAAATATTGTCTCCAGTGCCTTTCAACAGACACATGATCTTCAACACTGACTCGTGCTGATCCTCCAACAATATTATAGTCCCTCAGCACTGACCCTCCGACAGTGCGGCACTCCCTCAGCACTGACCCTCCGACAGTGCGGCGCTCCCTCAGCACTGACCCTCCGACAGCATGGCGCTCCCTCAGCACTGACCCTCCGACAGTATGGCGCTCCATCAGCACTGACCCTCCGACAGTGCAGCGCTCCCTCAGCACTGACCCTCCGACAGTATGGCGCTTCCTCAGTACTGACCCTCCGACAGTGCGGCGCACCCTCAGTACTGACCCTCCGACAGTGCGGCACTCCCTCAACACTGACCCTCCGACAGCGTAGCTCTCCCTCAGCACTGTTCCTCCGACAGTGTGGCGCTCCCTCAGCACTAACCCTGTGGCAGGTTGTTTTCAGTGATTCCTGATGGTATTTTCCTGTTTTACAGGCAGTCCATGATTGAAGAAGTTTTACTGTTTTCGGGTAGATTGACTGAATCTCTTCAGATGATGTTGGACTGGTTGTACAGGGCAGAGGTCACGCTGAATGAGCAGGCCCGAGTGAATGGTCACCTCCAATCTGTCAAAACCTTCATTGAGAACCACAAGGTAAAGAACTGATCGTGGTGTTATCATCTACAAGTCGCTTCATGTCTTTGTTGTTTACACTGTGTCCCTCCACACAGTTAGTCAATGGAGCTCACTGTCCAATCTCAGAGACACTGTGGGCTTGGCAATTCCATGGAGCTGATCCATCACAAATTTAAATCCCCCAGAAACAGTTCTCAGGAGTCCCCTCCAATCCTAATCTCCAACTCCGACAAACAGTTTTCCCTGAACTGTGCTTTTGTATACTCATGACGTGGCTGGTGCTTCCTGAATCCATCATCCAGATTCACCTCACACCCCGCCCTCTCCCACTCCTGCCCCCACACCCACAACCCACACACCACTGCGCCCCCACCCCCGCCACCCCACCACCTCACCCACATACCTGGTCCAATACTCACACACCAACACTTCTCCAACACCCCCTCCCCCACACACTCAGCCCTCTCCCAACTCCCCCACACCATCCCTCAACTCTCCCTCCGACACATTTTCTCCCTCTCCCTATCCAATCTGTCTCACATCCCCCTCCCCCAGGAACTGATCAACAAAGCCACTTCTCTACAGGGTTAACTCCTCACCATAGTAGCTGCAGTCACATTCAAATGCACGCTGCTGCTCGCCATGTTGTATTGACAGACTCCTCCCACCATGACACTACCCTTCCTTCACTATCACTGGGTCAAAATCCGGGAATTCCCTCCCTCAGGACGCTGTGGGTCTATCTACAGCACATTGACTGCAGCAGTTGAAGAAGGCAGCTCACCCCCCCTTCTCAAGGGGCCACTAGGAACAGGCAATAAATACTAGGCACAGCCAGAGACATCCATGCCCCAGGAATGAATAAAAAATGTTTCCCTGTGCCACTGACCTATCCTTGAAGTAGAATTTTATCTTAAACCTTTTAAAAATGATCAGCATTTGTAAGCTGCCAAGTGGAAGCCTTCAGGAATCCCAAGGCCTGATCAACATTGCCACTTCATTCCTTTGTCTGAAATCACTGGCAGAATTTCAAAATGTCAGCTCCTATGCCACCAAGTCTCTCCGACTCAACAATCACCTCAGCCAAAGCCACTTGTGTCATTTAGGAATTGGACATTACTTTTATTTCTATTGGAGTTTCTCTCATGCTTTGTAGTGAAGGGCGAGGTGGGTGATGTGAATATTAAGACTGTCCTCAGGCTGATAAACAACTGTCTTTCAGTTTCAATTCTGTCTGTCTGTCTGATTGGCTCATCTGCAGGTCTTTCAGAAAGAGTTGGGTAAACGGGCCAGTTGTGTGAGGGCTCTGAAACGTGCCTTCAGGGAGCTGAACAAAAACACAGGTGTCAACTGTGTCTGGCTGAAAGCTCAGATGGAGGAACTGAGTAAACAGTGGGAGCAAGTGTGCCATGTTTCCGTATCAAAGCAGTCTCTCCTTGAAGCTGCACTGTGTCAGGTAGGAACATGGTATCAATACATCACCTTATTACACCATCACCTTATCACATGTCAACAACTGTAATCTTGAGGGGCTAATGTTCCTGTCTGTGTAAGGTGGAGACTGAGGGGGCTCATTTGCTCAATGTTGGGCAAGAATATGCATCAGACGCCCTAATGGACTTGAATTCTGTTGTAGTTTTTTTGTACCTCTCTTCAAGGAGGATGTCATCAGAAATCACACCACACCAGGTTATAGTCGCACAGGTTTATTTGGAATCACAAGCTTTTGGAGCTTGGCCCTTTCATCAGGTGAAAGTCACCTTTATGCCTGATTGGAGACAGGAATGTGCATACCTGATGAATCTGCTCTTTGATGTTACCTTGTGCTGTTCGATATTGTTGGATCAGCTTCTTGCAATATTTCTGGATGTGACATATTCACAATGCTGTGACAGATCTGTCCACTTTCAAATGGGCCCAGTACTGGAGGGGACAGTGAATTGTTTGCTGGTTTGTATCTCATGGTTTGGAGAATGACGGGAGGTGGAGAGGTGTTTAATGGGTTACTTTGTATCCAGCAAAACAGTGTCATGTCATATTCATGGACAGATTGAGATTTGAACACAGACCCTCTGCTACAGAGGGTGAGGTACAATGACGGAGTGATAGAGCCTCCACTCTTGAAGACTGGGAGACCCAGGCACACAACCATGCCAGAATTCTGGAGCTCTATTTAAAGTGTTTGCCAAGCCTTGACCAGTTGTTCTCCATGAAACTGAATCCACATTCTCTACTGTCAGGCTGAACACTTTCAGTCTTTGGTTCAGAATTTCCTGGGTCGCCTCACACAGACTGAGAGGAAACTAACAGTTGGACTCATCCCGGAGGAGGAGCAGGATCTGCTGGAATTTAAGCAACGTCACCAGGTGAGTCAGACTGACGGGTGGGGTAAGGTTAGAGAGGGAGACAACAGGGCAGGAGGGAGAAAGAGATAACACAGTGAGGAGCTGGAGGAACACAGCAGGCCAGGCAGCATCAGAGGAGCAGGAAAGTCGACGTTTCAGGTTGGGACCCTTCTTCAGAAATGGTGGGAATGGGGGAGGGAGCTCTGAAATAAATAGAGAGAGGAGGGATGGGGATGGGGAAGGTAGGTGGGATGGTGATAGGTGAGTGCAGGTAGGCAGTGGTGGGGATTGGTCAGTGAGGTGGGAGGAGTGGATAGCTGGGAGAGATGAAGGACAGGTTGTGCCAGGTCATGTCCATTCTGGGCCTCCTCCAGTGTCACAATGATGCCACCCACAAACTGGAGAAGGAACACCTCATGTTCCGCCTCAGGAGCCTAAAGCCTAATGGCCTTAACTTGGACTTTACCAGTTTCAAAATCTCCCCACCCCCCGGCCTCATCTCACGACCAACCCTCCCTCTCACCCCCACCTCCTTGACTTGACACAACCTGTCCATCTTCTCTCCCACCTATCTGCTCCTCCCACCTCACAGACCAATCTCCACTAACCCCTACCTGCATCCACCTATCACAAACCTACCTACCTTCCCAGCCCCACCCCTCCTCTCTCTATTTATTTCCCAGTTCCTTTCCCTCTCACCAGTCCTGAAGAAGGGTCCTGACCTGAAACATCAGCTTTCCTGTTCCTCTGATGCTGCCTGGCCTGCTGTGTTCATCCAGCTCCACACTGTGTTATCTCTGACTCCAGCATCAGCAGTTCTTACTATCTCAGGAAGGAGAAAGAAGTTGGATGAGGTGAAAAGGCAAAGGCAAGAGAGGCAGAGATGGAGGGAGGCAGGCAGAGGGTGAGATGAGAGTGAGGGAGGCAGAGGGTGAGATGAGAGGGAGGGAGGCTGGCAGAGGATGGGTGGAGAGGGAGGGAGGCTGGCAGGGGGTGGGCGGAGAGGGAGGGAGGGAGGCTGGCAGAGGGCGGGTGGAGAGGGAGGGAGGGAGGCTGGCAGAGGACGGGTGGAGAGGGAGGGAGGGAGGCTGGCAGGCAGAGGGTGTGTGGAGAGGGAGGGAGGGAGGCTGGCAGAGGTTGGGCAGAAAGGGAGGGAGGGAGGGAGGCTGGCAGAGGGTGGGTGAAGATGGAGGGAGGGAGGCTGGCAGAGGGTGGGCGAAGATGGAGGGAGGGAGGCTGGCAGAGGGTTCATGGACCTGGAGACAGAGAGTGAGGGGAGAGGTACGTGTAGAGTGAGGGGAGAGGTAGGCAGGGATGAGGGAAGAGCAAGGGGAGAATGAGGGTAGAGGAAGAAAGGAGTCAGAGGCCAAGGGGAGAGGGAGGGAAGAGAAAGGTGTAGAGCGAGGGGAGGGGGTAGGGAGGCAGAGGGTGAGCAGAATGGTGGGAGCTGATATTCCTGATTCTTGTTTCAGGAGGCTGTTGACAGTCTGGAGTGTGAGTGCCCAGCTCTGGACTCTATTATCACTCTTGGGAATGAGATCCTGACTTCCTGTGATCCGGAATCAGTCAGCATCATCCAATCCTGCATCAACATGGTGCAAGCACGATGGGAGGAGGTGAGTCTGAAGCATGGTGCAAGATTCAGTTTCTCCAGAGCCCACACACATTTCAGCAGCACTTCCCTTGTCAGAGACGCTCAAACCAAACAACTGTAAGAACTGGGAGTGAGAGGAGGCCATTCAGCCCATTAAGCCTGCTCCATCATTTAATATGGTCATGGCTGATTTCATCTCAGCCTCAACTCCACTTTCCTGCCCACTCTCCATAACCCTCCAACACATCACTAGAGAAAATCTCCTCAGATATGAAGCAGTCCATGTTCAAATGCAACAACATTTGGACAATATCCAGGCTTGGGCTGACAAGTGGTGAGTGACATTCACGCCACACAAATGCCAGGCTATGACCATCACCAATAAGAGACAATCTAACCACCATCCCTTGACATTCATTGGTGTTACCATCACTGAATCCCCCACCATCAACATCCTGGGGGTTATCATTGACCAGAAACTCAACTGGACTCACCAAATAAATGCCAGAACAAATTACTGCAGATTCTGGAATCTGTACTCAAAACAAAAAATGCTGCTAACCAAATAAACACAGTGGCTACAAGAGCAGGCCAGAAGCTGGGAATACTGCAGCGAGTAACTCACCTCCTGACTCCCCAAAGCCTGTCCACCATCTACAAGGCACAAGTCAGGAGTGTGATGGAATACTCCCCGCTTGCCTGGATGGGTGCAGCCCCAACAACACTCAAGAAGCTTGACACCATCCAGGACAAAGCAGCCGCTTGATTGACACCATATCCACAAACATTCACTTCCTCCACCACTGACGCTCAGTAGCAGCAGTGTGTACTAGCTACAAAACTTGGGCGGCACAGTGGCTCAGTGGTTATCACTGCTGCCTCACAGCTTTGGGGACCCAGGCTTGATTCCACTCTCAGGCAACTGTTTGTGTGTAGTTTCTTTATTCTCCCCGTGTCTGTGTGGGTTTCCTCCAGATGATCCGGTTTCCTCCCACAGTCCAAAGATATATAGGTTAGGGTGGGTTGGCCATGGGAAGTTGCCCATAGGGTCCAGGGATGGGCAGTTTAGGTGGATTGGCCATGGGAAATGCAGGGTTATAAGGATAGGGTAGGGGGTTGGGATGTTCTTCGGAGGGTCAGTATGGAGTCAATGGGCCGAGTGGCCTGCTTCCACACTGGAGGGATTCTATGGTTCTGACATTCAGTATGATCCTGGCTGATTGAACTCCCATCGTCATTGCCAGGGTGTACAGGATAAGCAGAAATCTATGAATCTCCAACTTAAACCACACTCAAAGACTGAGCTTCTATAGCTCTCTGGTAGATGGTGGGTGTCCTTCCCTAAACAACATTGTTAACTCAGATGGGTTTTAATGATGTTGACAATAATTTCATCGTCACCTTTACAGAGACCAGCTTTATGTTCCAGGTTTATTAATTGAGGTTAACTTCAATGTGTTGCCTTTGTGGAATTTGTAAACAGCTCCCTGAGGGTCTTTGAATTTCCCGCCCAGTGACATTACACTATACCATAATCCCCCTCATTTTATCACAATTCCATTTTCCCACAATTTTTAAAATCTTATGTGTCTCTGGTCGTGTTGCAGGTGAGGACCTGGGCTAGTTACCAGGCAGATCGAGTGGAAGCAGCAATGTTGTCTCTCAGTTTGGAGCAGCAGGATTTGCAGCATCTACAGGAATGGCTGGAGGAAGCAGCAGAGTCACTGAATTGGAAAGATCAGGAGCCTCTCCCTGAAAACACTGTGCAGCTCGAGGAGCTCCTAACCCAGCACTCAGTGAGGACCATCATCATCGTTATATGATATAGAAGTTCATCACATGTCAGCTTCCCCAAGGATAGCTTCCTGCCTTAGGCAACACCTTTCCAAATGAAATCAATATTCTTAATTTAACCTTCCATGCTGATATCTCAAGTTGGAGATCTGCACTGGAGCCACCTGAGGCACAGAGTTTTGTGTTGGAGACCCCATGGGGGACGGAGCTCTGTGCTGAAGCCCACCTGGGGACAGAGCTCCGTGCAAGAGCCCCCCCGCACCAGGGGCAAGAAACTAGCTCTGTGCTGGAGCCCCCATGAGGGACAGAACTCCATGCTGGAGCCTCCACAGGGAAGGGAGTTCTGTGTGGACCCCACCCGGGGGACGGAGCTCCATGCTGGAGCCCACCCAAGGGTCGGAGCTCCATGCTGGAGCCTCCAAGGAGAAGGGAGTTCTGTGGAGCCCACCCAGGAATGGAGCTCTGTGCTAGAGACCCTAGGGGGAAGGGTCTCTGTGCTGAAGCCCCCAGGGGTGGGAAAGGAGCACTGTGCTGGAGCCTCCATGAGAGACCGATCTCCATGCTGGAGCCCCTTGCCCTTTGGAGACCAACTAACAACGCTGTCCCTCAGGACAAAGCAGCATTATCAGTGATTTCTGTATCTTATAAATAGTGAGGGGAAGACTGCAGTTTAAATGACTGGCTCTTTACTGAAAAATCTGTCAGCATGCATAGCACCACATTCACCTATTTGATTATTTCTGCACAGTCCTCCCAGAGGAAGGAATGTCAACATGCGCTGACCTCCAGAAACACTATGAACTGACCAAGCAGCAGTACCGTGCCCCAAACATCATTCCTCCAGATAGTAGCCAGACTACACCATCTCAACAATTCCTTCCAGGCAAAACTTTTAAGATGGCAGCTGTTCTTTTTAGGCCATATTTTACAGGGCGTAGCCTGAGATTAAATATTTAAAATTCTGGTTAGACCCCAACGAGAGAATTGTATCCACTTCCTGTCACCAATCAGTTAGGATTGGATATGAGGGCCTCTGAGACAGTGCAGGGAGATTTCCCAGAATGGTTCCAGGGATGAGGGACTTCAGTTACTGGGTGAGGTTGGAGAATCTCCTCGGAGTAGGGCGCAGTGAGGGAGATTCGATCGAGGTGTATGAGATACTGATTAGTTTGGGTAAGGCAGACAAGGAAATAGAACATAGAACAGTACAGCACAGTACAGGCCCTTCGGCCCATGATGTTGTGCCAATCTTTTACCCTAATCCTAAAGTCTATCTAACCTCCACCCCTACCTTATACTATCATCCATATGCCTATCTAATAGCTGCTTAAGTGCCCCTAATGAGGCCGACTCCACTTCCCTCTCCGGCAATGCATTCCACGCCCCTACCACTCTCTGAGTAAAGAACCTACCTCTGACGTCTACCCTATATCTACCTCCACTCACTTTAAAACTATGTCCCCTTGTTAAAGCTACCTCCACCCGAGGGAAAAGTCTCTGGCTGTCCACTCTATCTATACCTCTGATCATTTTGTACACCTCTATCAAGTCACCTCTCATCCTTTGTCGTTCTAAAGAGAAAAGCCCTAGCTCTCTCAACCTTTCCTCGTAAGACCTTCCCTCCATTCCAGGCAACATCCTGGTAAATCTCCTCTGCACCTTTTCCAATGCTTCCACATCTTTCCTGTAATGAGGTGACCAGAACTGGACACAATACTCCAGATGTGGCCGAACCAGGGTTTTGTATAGCTGGAGCATAACTTCACGGCTCTTGAACTCAATCCCTCGATTAATGAAAACTAACACACCATACGCCTTCTTAACAACTCTATCCACCTGGGTGGCCGCTTTCAGGGAACTGTGAACATGAACCCTAAGATCCCTCTGCTCCTCCACACTGCCAAGAATCTTTCCGTTAACCCTGTATTCTGCTTTCAAGTTTGTCCTTCCAAAATGAATCACCTCACACTTGTCAGGGTTAAACTCCATCTGCCACTTCTCAGCCCAGCTCTGCATCCTATCAATGTCCCTTTGTAACCTAGAACAGCCCTCCGCGCTATCCACAACTCGACCCACCTTCGTATCGTCCGTGAACTTGCTAATCCACCCTTCCACTCCTTCATCCAAATCATTTACAAAAATCACAAATAGAAGAGGACCCAGAATAGATCCTTGTGGTACACCACTTGAAACTGAGCACCATGTTGAATATTTTCCGTCCACGACCACCCATGGTCTTCTAAGGGTCAGCCAATTCTGAATCCAATCTGCCACATTTCCCCCTATCCCATGCCTCCTTACCTTCTGCATGAAATGTCTCACCATTAGCTGATGCTTCCAGGACTCGGGGTGACACAGAATGAAAATTCTGGGAGAGACACGGGAAGGTGAGGAAGACCTGGAATTACACAGCGAGTGGGAATGACCTGGGACACACTGTCTATGACAGGTTTTGGAAATGGAGACAGAGGGGGATTTGAGGGAAATGAAGTTGCAGCGAGATGGGGAGAGAGTGGGGTAGGGGTACTGACCAGATTGCTCTACAGGGAGCCAGAATGGACTCGATGGGCTGGATAAAAACGTTAAAAATAGGAGCAGGAGTAGTTCATTCAATTGCCTCAAACCTGTCCCATCGTTCTAATAAATTGTGGTTAATCTACCCCAGGTCTCAACTCATCTTTCATGACAGCTCTTCAGAATCTTTAACTCCTGAATTTTTCAGAAACCCATCCACCTCTTCTTTAAATACTTTCAGTGATCTTGCTTCCACAACTGTCTGGGGTAGAGAATTCCACACATTCACTACCCTGAAAAGACATTACTTCACATTTCAAATATGTCTCCTGGTTTAAGATACCCCCACTAGTGGAAACACCTCAACACTTACCCTGTCTAGTCCCCTTTGAATCTTGAACATTTCAATGAGATCATCCCTCGTTCTTCTAAACTCAAATGAATGTCTAACCTGTTTAGCCATTCTTGATAATTCACCCTTCAGTCCCAGGAATCAGCCAAGGGGCAACTTCTTCACACAGAGAGTGGTGCATATATGGAATGGGCTGCCAGAGAAGGTGGTTGAGGCAGGTACAACAGCAACATTTAAAAAACATTTGGATAGGTACATGGATGGGAAGGGTTTAGAGGGATATGGACCAAATGCGGGCAATTGGAACTAGCTGAGTGGGCACCATGGTCAGCATGGACCAGTTAGGGCCGAAGGGCCTGTTTCCATGCCATTTTATTTTATGACTCTATTCATTTCTTTCAAACAGCTTCCAACAGCAATACATACCAAAACTGTCACAATACTGTAATCATGGCCTCTTCAACACCTTGGACAATTCCAACTCCATAGCAATAAAGGCCAAAACTCCATTTGCCACCTTAAGTACTTGCTGCATCTGGCTATTAAAGTTTTGTGTTTCAAGCATAGGAACATCCAAAACCCTCCAAACTGCACTTTTTTGGTGTCTCGCTCCATTTACTTGACTTGATACAGGTTTACAAAATGATCAGAGGTATAGATAGAGCAGACAGCCAGAGAATTTTTCCGAGGGTGGAGGTAGCTATTATGAGGGGGCATGGTTTTAAAGTGAGTGGAGGTAGATATAGGGGAGACGTCAGAGGTAGTTTCTTTACTCAGAGAGTGGTAGGGATGTGGAATGCATTGCCAGAGAGGGTAGTGGAGTCAGCCTCATTAGAGGCATTTAAGAGGCTATTAGATAGGCACATGGATAATAGTATAAGGTAGGGGTGGAGGTTAGATAGACCCTAGGATTAGGGTAAAAGTTCAGCACAACATCATGGGCCGAAGGGCCTGTACTGTGCTGTACTGTTCTATGTTCTATGTTCTATTTAAATTGATTCTTCCAATGAAGTTGTTGGAAGGAATCCTGAGGGATAGGATTTACATGTATTTGGAAAGGCAAAGACTGATTAGGTAGAGCCAACATGGCTTTGTGCATGGGAAATCGTGTCTCACTAACTTGATTGAGTTTTTTGAAGAAGTAATGAAGAGGATTGATGAGGGCAGAGCTTTAGAACATAGAACAGTACAGCACTGGACAAAATCTGCTCCATCTGCTTTGGACATAATCTATACAGATTTTAGGAAGTCATTCGACAAGCTTCCTCTTGCCAGACTGGATAGCAAGGTTAGATCACACGGAATACAGGGAGAATTAACCATTTGGATACAGAACTAGTTCAAAGGTAGGAGACAGAGGGTGGTGGTGGAGAGTTGCTTCTCAAACTGGAGGCCTATGACCAGCAATGTGCCACAATGTTTGGTGCTGGGTCCATTGCTTTTTGTCATTTATATAAATGATTTGGATGTAAATATAGGAGATATGATTAGTAAGTTTGCAGATGACACTAAGATTGAAGGTGTAGTGGAGGTGAAGAAGATTACCTCAGAGTACAGGAGGAGTTTGATCAGATGGGCCAAAGGGCCGAGGAGTGGCAAATGGAGTTTAATTTAGATAAATGTGATGTTTTGGAATTTTGGAAAGGCACATCAGGGCAGGACTGATACACTGATTGGTAAGGTCCTGGGTAGTGTTGCTGAACAAAGCGACCTTGGAGTGCAGGTTCATAGTTCCTTGAAACAGGAGTCGAAGGTAGATAGGATAGTGATGGTGCTGTTTGGCATGCTTGCCTTTATTGGTCAGTGCTTTGAGTATAGGAGTTGGGAGGTCATGTTGTGGCTGTACAGGACATTGGTTAGGCCACTTCTGGAATACTGTGTGCAGTTCTGGTCTTCCCTGCTATAGGAAGGGTGTTGTGAAACTTGAAAGGGTTCAGAAAAGATTTACAAGAATGTTGCCAGGTTTGGAGGGTTTGAGCTATAAGGAGAGGCTGAATAGGCTCGGGCTATTCTCCCCGGAGTGACAGAGGCTGAGGGATGACCTTATGGAGGTTTATAAAATCCTGAGGGGCATGGATAGGGTAAATAGACAAGGTCTTTTTCCTGGGGTGGGGGAGTGCAAAACTGGAGGGCATAGGTTTAAGGTGAGAGGGAAAGGTTTAAAAGGGACCTAAGGGATAACTTTTTCATGTAGAGGGTGGTGCTGTATGGAATGAGCTGCCAGAGGAAATAGTGGGGGCTGATACGATTAGAACATTTAAAAGGCATCTGGATGCATATGTGAATAGGTTGATTGATTGATTGTCATGTGCACTGAAGTACAGTGAAAAGCTTTGTTTATGAGCAGTACAGGCAGATCACAGCAAGCAAAGGATGTACAGATCAAAAAGACTTAGAGGCATACAGGTTACATTGCAGGTTACATTATTTGAAGTTAAAGGGACCATTCAGCTGTCTGATAACGGCCAGGAAAAAGCTGTTCCTGAAAATGCTTGTGTGTGTGTTCAGGCTTCTGTATCTCCTGCCTGATGGAAGAGGTTGTAGGAGATCATTGCTAGGGTACGATGGTTCTTTGATGATGTTGGCCGCCTTTCTGCGGCAGTGACCCGTGTAAATAGAGTCCATGGATGGAAGGTTGGCTTCTGTGATGGTCTGGGCTGTGCACACCATCTTCTGTAGTTTCTTACAGCCCTGGGCACAGCAGTTGCCATACCAGGCCGTTATGCACCCAGACAGTGTGCGTTCAATGGTGCATCTGTAGAAGTTGGTGAGGGATCTTATGGACATGTCAAATTTCCTGAGCCGCCTGAGGAAGAAGAGGCGTTGTTGTGCCTTCTTCACTGTTGTATCTACATGGAAAGTCCAGGGCAGGTCATTGGTTATTGTCACTTTGAGGAATCAACCTTAGCTCTGTTGATATAGATAGTGTTCTCCTCCTTTCTTTCTGAAGTCGATGCTCAGTTCTTTAGTTTTGCTGAGATTGAGAGACAGATTATTTTCATTGTGCCACGTCACCAAGCCCTCTATCTCCCTTCTGTAGTTTGACTCGTTGTTGTTAGATATCTGTCCCACTGCAGTGATGTCGTCAGCGAACTTGTAGATGGCGTTTGTTCAGAATTTGGCAATGCAATCGTGGGTGTACAGGGATTAGAGTAGGGGGCTGAGGACTCATCCTTGGGGGGGGTCTCCAGTGTTGAGTGTTGTTGTGGAGGAGGTGCAGTTACCTATCCTCACTGATTGCGGACTATGGGTCAGAAAGCTGAGGATCCAGTCGCAGAGGGTGCAGCTGAGACCAAGGTCACAGTTTTGAGATCAGTCTGGAGGGGATAATGGTGTTGAAGGCGGAGCTGTAGTTGCTGAGCAGGGAGTCTGACGTAGGTGTCCTGTCGTCCAGATGTTCCAGCGATGAGTGCAGGGCCAGGGATATGGAACTGGAAGGATTTAGAGGAATATGGGCCAAATACTGGCAAACGGGAGTAGATTAACTTAGGATAGCTGGTCGGCATGGACCAATTGGACCGAGTCTGTTTCCCTTCTGTGTACTTTATGATTCTAAATGTATGACTTCAGACTTTCCTACTTTGCACTCCACCTGCCAAGGTTTTGTTCACTCCTTCATTGATCTACATTCCTTTTGCAGATTCCTTATGTTGTCATCATTATATTCCCTGCCACCTATTTTTGAGTCGTCAGCAAATTAGGATCCATCATTTATCGGTAAATGATTCATCTATCTCTGTCGACATTAAACTTCCATGTTATAACTAACCAAAAGTTTTGCATCTCTCTGTAGTTTCTTACAAACTGCTTCCTCTGTATGTTACCATCCTGATGTGGCTAATCGCTCCTAATGAAGAAATCAAAATACCCATCAATTGACAGAACTAAGCCACAAGAGTTCATGTCTTTAAATAAAACCATTGTTGTTATACATTATAAAGGGAAATGAAACAGAGCAAGTACAATGAACATTACTTTAGTTCATAAAGACTTCTATTATTATCTCAGTTCTGTATTTTACATCCCTCTTCCACTCTACCCCCACTGGATTTCCCATATTTTACAAAATTGTAAAGGATTGTACTCTGGTACTTTAATGCTCCTTCGTATTCCGGCTATTACTCGGATTACAAATTTCATGAAGATTTGGTTAGCTTTTGGCTAAGAAATGTTCCTTCTGGAGTCTTATGCTGCCTGTACTGATAAGGCAGGAGTTGTTTCTCCTAGTCTGTTCCCACAATTTCTGCACAGCTCCTTCCAGGCTAACTATTCAAACGGACTGCTCTCTTCCACAAGTCTCTTTGAGGCTTCACTATCTTCAAGATACAGAAATTGTACCAGCTGCTTTTCTCTTGTGAAATCTACATTGAACTGATCGATTATGTGAGCAAACACGTACAGAAACATGTTCTGAGGAAGGGTCACCGGACCCAAAACATTAACTCTGATTTCTCTTCACAGATGCTGCCAGACCTGCTGAGGTTTTCCAACAACTTTGTTTTTGTTTCTGATTTCTGATTTTTAAACACGTACAGATGTTTGATACTACTTTAAAAAAGAACCTTCTCATCAAGACTCCACCCTGAATAAGTATTTCTGTAGCAATGTGACAGGATTTGGGATGACTCAAACAAAAATAAAACCAAATTATTTTACAATCTTCACAGCCCTCTGCTTCTTTAACCCATATGAATAATTTCATTGCTAATGGATAGAACTTCTCTCCCTCCAGACAACTTGGACATGTTTGGAAATGAAAATCCATTCTTTCACTGTCAACTCTATCCTTGCATCACAGGCTCCTGTTAAACGTAATCAACTCAGGCTTGTCGGATTTCTTCTTGAAAAGTGATTGGCCACATCAGGATGATAACATAGAGGAAGCTGTGCGTAAGAAATTACAGAGATACAAATCTTTTGGTTAGTTAGTTATAATGAGGGAGTTTAATGATCTTAATGTCAACAGGAATAATAATAGTCATTCAGTCATTTACAGATTTGTGGAAGAGAACAAATTGTAGATCCTAATTTGACGGTTTGAAAATCCATCTCAGTTCACCCCAATTCTCCCAACAGATGACCCCGGTTATCTATAGTTATAACGTTAACTGTTTTTCATTAATTCTTTGGGATGTGGGTGTTGTTGGCCAGGCAGGTATTTATTGCCTGTCCCTCGTTGCCCTTGGGAAGTTGGTGGTGAGCTGCCTTCTTGAACCAGTGCAATCCATGTGCTATAGGTTGACCCACAATGCCCTAAGAGAAGGAACTCCCCAGGATTTTGATCCAGTGATAGTGAAGAATGGTGGGTTTTGAATGTGCTTACTAAGCACCTTTGGTGAAATTTCTTAAAAGAGGAAGTTATATTCCAAAACACATAACCAAGAACTAAATGCTAACATGAGGCCTGTTTCAAACTTGCTGTTGGTAATAACTGTCATTGATGCTGTTCTTGCAGGTTTTATTGGATGAATTGAGGAGAAAAAGAACAGAAATAGAAAGAAAGAAAAAGCTCTCTTCCCAAAATTTGAATGATCAGCATCAGGATTTTCATCAACAGCATGCCTCACCTGGTAAGGATCTTGAGAAATATAGTATTCGTTCTTAGCAAAGGCCGGGTTTACAAGTTTTCAATTACTTCATTGGGATGTGGACATCGCTGACATGGAACAGCATTTATTTCCTGTCCCTAGTTGCCCCTGAAAAGATGATGATGAGCTGTATTCTTGAACCACTGCAATCTGTCTGTGATAGGTAGACCCACAATGCCCTTAGAGAGGGAATTCGAGGATTTTGACCCAGCGACAGTAAATGAATAGTGATAGATTTCCAAGTCAGGATGGTTGGAAAAAAAATTGCAGGGGGTATACAATCATACAGTACACAAGAGACTTTTCAGCCTATTGAGTCTGTACCACCAAAAATACACAAGCCCCACCTTTCTGCACTAGGCCCATTGTCATGAACATTATGGCATTTCAGGGTCTCATCCAAATACTTTTTAAAGGTTGTGAGGTTTCCTGCCTCACTACCCTCTTAGACAGGGCATTCCAGAGCTCTACCACCCTCAGGAAGAAAAAGTATTTCCTTAAATTCCCTCAAAACCTGCCTTTCACTTTAAAATTACACTCCCTCATTCTTGATCCTTCGAGAAAAAGAAATAACTGCTTCCTATTCATTTGTGACAACTGGCTATTGTTTCGTGGTCATTACTAAATTCCAGGCTTTTAGTAAATTCACACCCCACCATCTGCTGAGGTAAGATTCAAATCCTTTTCTGCAGAGTATCATTGTCCTGGGTTTCTGAGTTATTACTCAGTTGACAATGCCATTGCCATTGAATCATAGAGAGCAGAAGAGGCCCTTCAGCCCATTAAGTCTGCATCAACACGTCAGAAACATCTGACCTTCAACCTAATCACATTTACCAGCATCTGGCCCATAGCCTTGAACGTTATGATGTGCCAAGTGGTCATCCAGGTACTTTTTAAAGGATGTGGGGCAACTTGCATTGCCACCCTCCCAAGTTGCACATTCCAGACTGTCGCCACCCTCTCGATCAAAAATGTTTTTCTCACGTCACACTAAACCTCCTACCTCTCACCTTGAACTCCTTGTGACTGACTCTTCCATTCAGGGAACAGTTACTCCTTACGCAATCTTGTCCATGCTCCTCATGGTGTCGTACATTACCATCAGATCACCTCCTCAGTCTATTCTGCTCCAACAAAAACAGCCCAAGCCTGTCCAACCTTTCCTCATTACTGAAATGTTCCATCGCAGGCAGCATTCTAGTGAGTCTCCTCTGCACTCCTCCAGTGCAATCACATCCTTCCTGTAATGTAGCAACCTCAGCTCTGGTCTTACCATGATTTATTACAACTCCAACATGACTTCCCTACTTTATTAACCTATGCCTCAAATGATAAAGGAAAGTGCCCCATGTGCATTTTTCACTACCCTACTAACATGCCCTTCCACCTTTAGAGATTTATTGTCAAACACTTCAAGTCCTTTTGTTCCACAGAACCTCCTAGTGCCATGTTGTACATTAAGTACTTCTCTGTCAAATTACTCCTTCCAAAGTATATTGTCTCATCCTTTTCAGGGTTAAATTACACCTGCCACTTATCTCCCATTTGACCATCCATCTATATCTTCTTGTAGCCCAAGACACTCAACCTCACTGTTAACCACCTGACCAATCTTTGTATCATCCGCAAACTGACTATTTTAACCCCCAACACAGTCATCTAAGTCATTTATATAAATGACAAAGAACAGGTGACCCAGAACAGATCGATATGATATGCTACTGTACACTGGTTTCCAGTCACTAAAGCCTCCTTCTGTCAGTCTCCTACAGCTGAGCCAGTTTTGAATCCACTTTATCAAATGACCCTGTATCCCATCTGCATTTGCCTCTTGATAAATCTCCTATGTGGGACCTTGTCCAAAGCCATGGGTGAAATCCATATAAACTATATCAACTGTACTACCCTCATCTCCACACCTGACCACCACCTCAAAAAATTCAATCAAATTTGTTCGACATGACTTCCCTCTGAGGAAGCCGTGCTGACTATTCCTGATCAAGTCTTGCCTTTCCAAATGGAGATGGATGCTCTCTTTCAGAATTTATCCAATAGTTTCCTGACCACTGACATGAAACTCACTGGTCTGTCGTTCTTTGGCTTATCTCTACAACCCTTCTTAAATATCAGAACCACATTAACTGTTCTCCAAACCCACCTCCCCACCCCCACCCCCCACAGCTAGAGAAGTATTAAAAATTTGGGTTAGTACCCCTGTAATCTATACCCTTGCCTATTACATCAGCCTGAGACACAATTCATCTGGACCTGGAGATTTGTCTGTTTTTAAGTTTGCCAACATCTCCAATACCTTGTCCTTCCCTACGTCAATTTATTTAAGCTCCTTGCAGCTTCCCCCCACCCCTCTCCCACCCCACTCCAGTTCCATACCTTTGTCATCATATTCTTGGGTGAAGGTGGATATGAAGTATTGGTTCAACACTCTACCAATGTCCTCTGGCTCCACCCATAGATTACCCTCTTGATCCCTAATGGGCCCCTACTCTTTCCCTGGCGAACAAAGAACAAAGAACAAAGAAAATTACAGCACAGGAACAGGCCCTTCGGCCCTCCAAGCCTGCGCCAATCCAGATCCTCTATCTAAACCTGTTGCCTATTTTCCAAGAATCGGTATCGCTCTGCTCCCTGCCCATTCATGTATCTGCCTAGATACATCTTAAATGACGCTATCGTGCCTGCCTCTACCACCTCCGCTGGCAACGGGTTCCAGGCACCCACCACCCTCTGCGTAAAGAACTTTCCACGCATATCTCCCTTAAGCTTTTCCCCTCTCACCTTGAAATCGTGACCCCTCGTAATTGTCCCCCACTCTGGAAAAAAGCTTCTTGCTATCCACCCTGTCTATACCTCTCATGATTTTGTCGACCTCAACCTCCATCTTTCTAATGTAAATAATCCTAATCTACTCAACCTCTCTTCATAGCTAGCACCCTCCATACCAGGCAACATCCTGGTGAACCTCCTCTGCACCCTCTCCAAAGCATCCACATCCTTTTGGTAATGTGGCGACCAGAACTGTTAGCAGTATTCCAAATGTGGTTGAACCAAAGTCCTATACAACTGTAATATGACCTGCCAACTCTTGTACTCAATACCCCGTCCAATGAATGAAAGCATGCCGTATGCCTTCTTGACCACTCTATCGACCTGCGTTGCCACCTTCAGGGTACAATGGACCTGAACACCCAGATCTCTCTGTGCATCAGTTTTCCCCAGGGCTTTTCCATTTACCACTTATCCACTTCCCATTGATATACTTACAGAATATATTGGGATTTTCCCTAATTTATCAGCCAGAACTTTCTCATATCCCCTCTTGGTTTTCCTAATTGCTCTCTTAAGCTCCATCCTGCACTTTCTGAACTCCATTAATATCTCCGGTCATCCATGGCTCTCTGGGCTTCTTACTTCTTCCTATCATCCTAGAGGGAATACGTTGGGCTTGTACCCTGTGTCAACATCATCATCACCCCGGGTTTCAGGGTTAGTTCTCCTTTGACAGCGCCATTCTGCTGTCGCCTTCCGTTCTCTCCCTGCCCGCCCCCTCCATTCACTATTTACTCGATTGAGGAGGTCCCTGTGATTCTGTTCCATCGGAAGGCTGTAGTTGATGAGATTTAATTCTGTTTGTGTTACGGTTGGTGATGGAGATGGGGGAATGTTTAAGGTCTGTCTTTGATGTGTTCTGTTGTGTTCCAGAGCAGGGCCACTGTTTGGGATTTCAACTCCATCTTCCTCTAAGGGCTGACTCCTCAGATGCTGTGAGCCCTCTGGTTGCCCACCTCTTGGGAAGGTGGCAGCAGTTGTGGACACGAGCGTTGGAGAGACAGGCCCGACTGCAGGAGAAAGCCCAGAGACTTAATGAGGTGAGCACAGGTCGCCTTGAAGCCAGGTCCAAATATGAACCACAGACATACACATTATCCACGCAAGGGGGCGCAGCATCCCTCAAAATCGTTCAGAACTTGAGGAATATTTTGGCTGATCTATGCCCAAGCTCCAAAGATCTGAACATTTTTCTTTAACCCTGTAGGAGCAAATTACTGCAGATGCTGGAATCTGTATTGAAAACAAAAAATGCTGGAAATCACAGTGGGTCAGGCAGCATCAATGGCGGGAGAGCAAGCTAACGTTTTGAGTCTAGATAACTCTTCATCAAAGCTGAAGTGAAGTGTGGAAAAGGCAGCATTTAAACAGTGTTGTGGTTGGAGTGGGGAGCGGGGGTTGATGGGGAGGACGGTGGAGGAGAGTTGGGGGAGGAAGTACGTCGATAGCTCAGATAAAGTGATCAGAATATAAGAATGGCAGAACAATGCAGTGTCTAACTGCCAGACTGGAAAGAACAGACAGTCCTACTGTGGTGGGTGGAGGGGAGAGAGGTCATGTTGACAGAGAATGTAGCAAGTAAAGCTAAAAGAAAGGGAAGAAATGGGGGTGGGTTCACAATCTGAAGCTGTTGAACTCAATATTAAGTCCAGAAGGCTATAAAGTGCTTAGTCTGACGATGATATGTTGCACCTCCAGTTTGCGTTGTGATTCGCTGGAGCACTGCAGCATGCTGAGGACAGACACATGGAGCATGCGAGCAGGATATTGTGTTAAAATAACCGGCTATGGGAAGGTCAGGCTCATACTTGCTTACAGGCCGGAGGTGTTCCACAAAGCGTTTACCCAGCCTGCATTTGGTTTCTCCAATGTAGAGTAGGCCACATTGGGTACAGTGGCTACAAAGCACAGGATTGGAGGAGGCCCAGGTAGCTGTTTGGGCCTTTAGATGGTGAGCAGGGAGGAGGGGAAGAGGGCAGGTGTTGCACCTTCTGAGGTTACATGGGAACGGGGTTGGTGTTGGTGGTCGAAGAATGGACTAGGGTTTTCTGGATGAAGTGATCCCTGTAAAATTCAGACAAGGTGATTGAACAGAAAATGTGTTTGCTGTTGGCCTTCTGCTGGAGTGTCTGAAATGGCAGAGAATGATCCTTTGAATGCGGAGGCTGGTGGGATGGAAAGTGAGGACAAGGGGGACCTGATCATGCTGCTATGAGTAATAGGGAGGGGCAAGGGCAGAAGCACAGGTGATAGATCAGATGGTTTTGATGTCCCTGTCAATCACAGTGGGCAGGAAACCATGGTTATGGGAAAAGGAAGCTACGTCAGCAGCACTGTTCTGGAATGTGGTATCATCCAAACAGATATGACGTAGGCAAAGGAACAGGGAGAATGTGATGGAGTCCTTGCAGGATGTGGGGTGTGAATAGCTGTCGTGAAGGTAGCTATGGGAGTCAGTGGCTTTGTATTGGATGGCAGTGGACAGTTTATTCCCCAAAATGGAGACGGAGAGAGCAAGGAAAGGAATGGAAGTGTCAGAGATAGGCGATGTGAAAGTTATAGAGGGGTGGAAATTGGAGGCAAAATGAACAAATTTTTCGATTTTCAGGTGGGAGCATGAAACAGCACTGAAGCAGTCATCGATATACCGAAAAGAGAGTTGTGGGAAGGGGCCAGTGCAGGACTGGAATTGGGATTGTTCCACATACCCCATAAAGAGGCAGACATTACTGGGACCCATACGGCTGCCTATGGCCACTTCTTTGACTTGGCAGAAGTGGGATGAATTAAAGGAGAATTTTGTTCAGTGGGAGAACAAAGTTCAGCCAGGTGGAGGAGAGTGGTGGTGGATGGGAATTGTTCAAGCCTCTGGTCAAGGAAGAAGCTGAGAGCTCTCAGACCATCCTGGTGGGGAATGGAGATATAGACCGATTGGACATCCATAGTAAACAGGAGGCAGTTAGGGCCAAAGAACTGGAAATTGTCTTTTAAACCTGGTTGGCATGGACAAGTTGGACCAAAGGGCCTGTTTCTGTCCTGTATGACTCTGTAAGCAAGAGCAGTGGAGGCGTAGAGTGGAACGAGGGGAGAATCACAGAAATCTATAACAGGGTGAACACAGGAGCAGTTCCCGATGACCCGGAAATCTAAAACCAGGGGGTAACAGTTTAAGGATACAGAATGGATAAAGAGAGAGAGGGGAGTCTATGTAGAATTCACTGCCACAGAAAGCGGTTGAGGCTAGAACACTGAATGTTTTCAAGAAGAAGTTGGATAAAGCTCTTACGGCTAAAGCATCACAGAACCATACAATTGTTACTGCATGGGGGGAGGCCATTTAGCCCATTGTGTGAGCATTGATTCTCTAACATAGTGCCAGTCTCTTGCTCTTCCCCACACCCTGCACGACAGTTCTATCCCAATGATTCCCTCAGTGCTAGGGGCTTGGATGTAGGGGGAATTTGTTTGGTGTGTCTAGTAGGGGTTTTAAAACAATATGTCCAACTAGGGAAGGGGCCATTTTAGACCTCATAGTTGGGAATGCGCCTGGCCAGGTGATCAAAGTTTCAGTGGGGTAGCATTTCGGGAACAGTGACCATAATTCCATAAGTTTTAAGTTACCTACGAATAAGGTTAGGAGTAGCCCTTGAGTGAGACTACTAAAAGGGAAGGCCAACTACCACACTATTAGGCAGGAATTGGGGAATGTAGATTGGAGGCAGCTGTTTGAGGGTAAATCTACATCTGACATGTAGGAATCTTTTAAAAGGACAGTTAATTAGAGTTCAGAACCAGTATGTTCCTGTGAATATGAAGGATAAGGATGCCAAGATTTGGAAAAATTAGAATTCAAGAGAAATTGAGAGCTCACATTATCCTAAATGCAGTCTGACCAGAGCCTCATACCGCCTCAGCAGTACATCCCTGCTCTTGTATCCCAGCCCTCTTGAAATGAATGCTAATATTACATTTGCCTTCCTAAATGTCAACTAAACCTGCATGTTAACCTTAACAGATTCCTGAACTAGGACATTTCCCCATTTCCTACCAAAATGCACAACCTCACACATTGACACATTGCATTCCATCTGCCAATTCTTTACGCACCCTTCTAGCCTGTCCAAGTCCTTCTGCAGCCTCCCCACTTCCTCAACTCTACCTTGTTCTCCACCTGTCTTTGTGTCACCTGCAAACATAGCAACAATGCCCTCAAATCCTTCAGCCTATTATAAACTTCAATCAAGTCATTTCTTACTCTTCTAAAGCCAGTGGAAACAAGCCCAGTCTGTCCAACCTCTCCTCATAAGACAACCTGCTCATTTCAGACATCAATCTGTTAAACCTCCTCTGAACTTTCTCCAAAGCATTGGACACCTATGGCCCTTTGTACATTTACACATTCTAACCTTTCACTATTTAGGTAATAGTCTGATCCCCTGACTATAAGAGTGTTTTAAGGCACATCATCCTTGAGCAGGTTTAAGGCGCTGAATGGCCCACTCTGTGTTGTTTGATTTTGATCATTTTACATGTAAAACAAAGAAGAATGAAAGAATAAAACAGTGAATAAATGAGTAAGAACTCATCAATCTATGTTGCGAATTTCAGCTCCAAGCTCTGGAGAACTTCAGCTTTAATACATGGAGGAAACGATACATGCAGTGGATCAGCAGCAAGAAATTCCGGGTGCTGGATATTTTCCGATGTATCGACAAGGATCAAGATGGAAGAATCAGCCAACAGGAATTTATACAAAGTGTTCTTGACTCCAGTGAGTTTACAATCTGGCAATTTCCATGTGTCACAGAAATATCAGTTCAAAACATCAGATCAGAATTAAAATCAAAATTGTTACAGTACGGAAGGAGGCCATTCAACCTAATTAGGTCTGCACTCGCTCTCTGAGCATTTTAACTTTGTGCCAATCTCCTGCTTTTTCTATATAACTTTGTACATTGGATAATTATTTGATTAGAATCAATTCCCCTTCTTTGATGCCTCCACTGATCCTGTATCCACCACATTTCCAGGCAGCACATTCCACAACCTAACCACTTACTGAATGAAAAGTTTTCTATTGCATCATTTTGCTTCTTTTGCAAATTACTTTAAGACTGTGACCTTTTGTTCTTGGGGTTGTGCCTGTGACCAGGCTGGGGTGGGTCGGTTGCGGGGAGCCGTTAATCAAACACCATTACTCCTGACGTCTCACTGTCTGACTGAATCACCACGATGGTCACATTGTTTTAATTTATTGCTGTTGGGGACCAAGAGAGACTCCCGCCAGGTTTATTAACAAACCTATTTATCATGAACAATCTTAGTCTTTAACTAGTGTCAAGACACATCATTAACCACCACTACGCAAAATTAAACTACATCCGCATTAGTTCCAAATGCACACACATACCTACACAGACAGGACAAGCGAGTACAACAGCTCTGCAGAGATGTTATGGTTAGGAAAAAAGACAGAAAATAACACCTTTTGGATCTCGAGTCAAAACCACAAGCATGGAATGAAATGATTTTCTTGCTCCCCAAAGTTCTTTTACTTTCCATTGACAAGGTCATGTTGCTATTGGCTACAGGGTGATGGAAGATCCTCAGTTCAGGTAGCTGGCCAGTCAGACCCAGGTCTTCTATTGATTTGACAGTTCAGTAGACTGAGATAGTGACAGACAGAGCGAGTGAGAGATGTTTCTCTGCTGCCAGCTTTCTTTCAACTACAAACAGCTTCCATGTCTGTGGCAAGACAGAAATTACAGACGAGAGTCTGTTGTTGGGTGATGGCAACATCGCTTCTAGGATTTCTCCCCAAGCTTATTTGTTAAGACATTAAGGCCATAAAAATGATTTTATCTCTTTTTAGTTTCCTTTGACCTTTGGTCTTTTCATTTCCAAGATGTCACATGATAAATCCTCCTGAAGCCATGTTTCATATTCCAATTTCTCATAGCCCATACAGAAATATATAACAAGTGACACTACCGCGATGCCATCCCTCATTCTTGGCTCTACTGCTTGGCTGTTTTTAATCATCATTCTTATTAAGTATTAATTTATATTATTAACTTAATGCTGAGAAATTGTATTTTTCCCTGAGATCCATTGTAAATTTTCTGAAATTCACTCACCTACCCTGCTAAGTGTGATAGAAACTGTAATGTGGCCCATGCCTGTGAGAAATTTGGACAATCTGAATTAGCTGGTTATGTGAAAAGGAAAAATGTGCAGGCTTACAGGAGGAAACAGGAGGATAGGAGTTGATAAGATGGGCTGTATGGCTTTTTCCTGGGCTTTAACTGTTCTGTGGTTTTATGGAAAGAAATGGCATGATCCTAAACATCTATTCCTGCACTTGCCCAGAATTTCCCACCAGCTCCCTGGAGATGGAAGCAGTTGCTGCAATTTTTGATCTGAATGGGGATGGATTCATTGATTACTATGAGTTTGCCAATGCACTACACCCAAGCAGAGACCATCACCGAAGAACTGAGGATGAAGAGAGGATCGAAGATGAGGTGAGAGGCAATGTTTACTTTCAAGGTGAAAGTATCTGAGACCTCAGAAATACCAATTAGCTTTTTTACTAGGCCTCTCCCCACGCTCAACTGGTTAGTTTGGCCCCTCTCTGAGCTCAGGCTGCCCTTTAGACTCCTCCTTACTTCCCTTTCTGAGGTTAGCCTTTCCCTTAGGCCTCTCCCTGAACTTAAAGGTTTTTCTACGCTCTTCCCAGAGCGCAACCATATTTATAGCCACCCCCACTAGCTCAGATGGTTGTTCCCTGGACTCCTCCCAGAATTTGAACCCCAGGCCTTTCCCTGCCTACAGCTAAACAGGACTCCTGTCTCCCGATGCTAGCCTGTGGTGTGCTCTATTATTCGGTACTGAGTTGTCTGTCTTGCAGGTTTGTCGCCAGGTTGCTGAATGTAACTGTGCCCAACGTTTCCAGGTGGAACAGATTAGTGCACACAGATACCGGGTAGGTACTGCACTCTCAGAGCTCTGTGTACTTTGTGGAGGTGGGGGTTTTATATTTGTCATGAGGTGATTGTAATACTCAACAAGTCAGATGCAAGGGTGAAAATGGGTTTGACAGAAGTGGAGAGGTTCTTCACAAGCAAAGGGGTGAAAGATTATCGAGGGTAGGTGAGATTATGGATGTGCGGTGATGATCAGACCAAGCTGTGATCATATTGAATGGCAGAGCAGGGCTTGAGGGACTGAATGGCCTGCTCCTCATTTATTGTACATTCTTATTTAAGGTTTTGGAGTAGATCTGTAGCTCGGGTTGTGGGTGTTGATGTTGGTTGGCTCACCGAGCTGGTTTGTTGTTCTGCAGACATTTTGTTACCGTGCTTGGTAACATCCTCAGTGCAGCCTCTGTTGAAGCGTCGGTGTGTTTTCCCGCCTGGTTTTTAAACTCTGGGGTCCGTTGCGATGGATTGCCTCATTTCCGGGTTTCCTCCATAGTGAAATGTATATGGGGTCGAGTTCAATATGTTTATTAATAGCATGCTTCGTGGAGTGCCATGCTTCCAGGAATTCCAGGACAAGAACATCACGATACTACCTGCAGACAAAGGGCGCATGACGGTGATAATGAATAGAAAGGACTACATCTCCAAAGCATATGCACTGCTCGCCGACGAGAACACATACCGACCAGTACAAACTGACCCGACACCACAACTAGGCAACAAAACATGCTACAAAGACTTAAACAAACAGGACAAATCAACAAAACAGACTTCTTAAGAATGAAACCCGAAGGAACCAACACACCCCGATTCTACGGCCTCCCTAAAGTGCACAAGCCGGAAGTCCCCCTCAGACCCATAGTCTCCCTACCAGGCACTCCATCGCACAGATTAGCCAGCGAACTACAAAGAAGACTCAAGCACCTAGTCAACAGATCACCCCACTCCATCCACTCAGCCCAAGAATTCCTCAACTCCATCAAAGACATAAAGATAGAGGACGAAGAGACCATGATATCGTTTGATGTCACCGTCCTATTCACATCAATAGACATACCACTAGCGAGGGAAACAATGACAACAATACTTGAACAAGAACACGACCCCAGTGAAACCATCTCCAAGGACAACATGCTTAAACTACTGGCCCCATGCCTGACCACCCACTTCACCTTCAATGGCCAAACATACGAGCAAATCAACAGGACACCCATGGGATCGCCTATCTCCGGACTCATAGCAGAAGCAGTGATGCAAAGACTGGAAAGGACCGCCCTTCCGCAAATCCAACCTAAACTATGGATACGCTACGGAGACGATAACTTTGTCATCATTAAACGGACCAAATTAGAAGAGACACACAAACTCATAAACAATACCCTCACTGGAATAAAATTCACCAGAGAGGAGGAGAAGAACAAACAACTCCCATTCCTGGACGTCATGGTAGAGCGCAAGACAAATGGGGAACTGCAAACGAAAGTACACCGAAAAACCACACACATAGACCAGGTATTGAACTTCAATAGTAACCATCCCAGCACACACAAACGAAGCTGCGTGCGAACACCATTTAAAAGGGCAACAACACACTGCAGCAACATGGAACTACGCCAAGAGGAGGAGGAATACCTTTTCCAAGTGTTCAAGGATAATGGATATCCAAAGAACTGGGTCAGGAGATGCCTACAGGCACAGCATCAGAAAGATTCTACACGCCCCGACACACTCATCACACTATCCTACATCAGGAACACGTCAGAACTCACCACAAGACTTCTACGACCGCTAGGCATCAGAGTGGCACACAAACCCACATCAACCCTACGACAAGTGCTCACCTGAACTAAAGACCCACTCCCCGCCATGGACAGGACCAATGTCATCTACAAGATCCGCTGCAGAGATTGCGAGAAACACTACATCGGACAAACAGGAAGGAAACTAACAACAAGAGTACATGAACACCAACTGGCTACAAAAAGGCATGACCAATACTCACTCATCTCAATCCACATGGACAAGGAGAACCACCACTTTGACTGGGACAACACCAAGATCCTGGGACAGGCTAGGAAGAGACAAGCACAAGAATTCCTGGAAGCATGGCACTCCACGAAGCATTCTATTAATAAAGACATTGAACTCGACCCCATATACATTCCACTACGGAGGAAACCCGGAAGTGAGGCAATCCATCGCAACGGACTCCAGAGTTTAAAAACCAGGCTTCATCAGAGGCTGCACTGAGGATGTTACCAAGCATGGTAACGAAACATCTGCGGAACAACAAACCAGCTCGGCGAGCCAACCAACCTCAACATTCTTATTTTTCTTATTGATTAAGATGGTGGTCAGGCACAGAATCTTCACAAGAGGCCCCGCTTCACCGAAATAACAGAAATTTACTGTGCAAGGAATAAAAATACAAACTATGGGCTGAACCTTACATTATTTTGGTAAAGTGCAAGTTGAGTTTTTTTACACGGTTTTCATCATGAGGCCTAGAATGTCCTCTGTACAGTCATCATTAGATTCTTAGTTCCAGATTTCCTTTATTAAACTCAAATTCTATCATCTACCATAGTAGGATTCAAATTTGAACATTACCTGGGTCTCTGGATTAATAGCCTTGTGAAACTCACCTCTAACTCGCTCCTCCCTCTCCCCCACAAAATCCATACGATTTAACTGTCCATAGCTGCATCCAGTTACAGAAAGCCTCTCAGTCAGCAACACTCTGTCCCAATGCCAACCAGACGCTGGTACATTTGCAGGTAGACATGCAGTGGGCACATATAGAGACACGTGGATATAATCTAATTGTCATTACAGAAACATGGCAGTACACCGAGCAGGACTGGGAACTGAATATTTCAGAGTGTCTGGCATTCAGGAAGGACAGACAAGAAGGAAAAGGAGATGGAGTTGCTCTATGAAGAGGGATGGGATTTGTACATTAATAACGGAGGGTCTTAGATCAGAAGAACAATGTGTGGAATCTGTTTAGATGAACTCAAAAGCAGCAAGGGACACTGATTGGAATTATTTATAGACCACTAAATAGTGGTGGTCGTGTGGGGCATGGTATTAACCAGGAGACGGGAGAAACATGTAGCATAGGCCACGCAGTTATCATGGGCGACTTCAATCTGTAATAGACAGAGTGAACCAACGGAATGGTTTTCTAGAGTAGTGTGTTGAAAAGTCTACTAGAGGTCATACTTATTTAGGTTCAGCATAATGTAATGAAAAGGGCTAATTAAGAATCTTGTAAAAGAACCTTTAGGGAGAAATGATCACAATATGATAGAAGGCAGCTCAGAATCAATCACACTGCTGTGGGCCTGGAGTCACATGTAGGGTAGACCAGGTAAGGACAGCAGATTACCTTCCCTAAAGGACAATAATGAACCAGATGAATTTTTGGAACAACCGACAATAGTTATATGGTCATTAATAGTCTAGTGACACCATTAGGCCGTCGCCTCCCCCCAGTTTGCCCAAACTCTCTTCACAGGACAATCCCACCATCTCAGGAAAAAATCTGGTGACCCTTTGTTGTACCCCCTCTATGGGTCCTTTCCAAATTGACAGGCAGTAACTAGTGGGGTGCCACAAGGAATCGGTGCTGGGACCCCAGTTATTCACAATCTACATTAATGGTTTGGATGAGGGAACAAAATGTAACATCTCAAAGTTTGCAGATGATACCAGGCGGTGTGGGGTGAACTGTGATGAGGATTCAGAGATCTGTCAGCATGATCTGGACAGGTTAGGTGATTGGGCAAATCAATGACAGATGCAGTATAATTTGTATAAATGTGAGGTTATTCACTTTGAAAGCAAAATCAAGAAGGCGGATTACTACCTGAATGGCTGTAAATTGGGAGAGGGGAGTGTGCAGTGGGACCCGGGTGTCCTTGTGCACCAGACGCTGAAGGTAGGCATGCAGGTGCAGCAGGTGGTAAAGAAGGTAAATGGTATGTTGGCCTTCATTGCGAGAGGTTTCGAGTACAGGAGCAGGGATGTGTTGTTGCAGTTATACAGGGCCTTGGTGAGACCACACCTGGAATACTGTGTGCGGTTTTGGTCTCCTTTTCTGAGGAAGGATGCTCTTGCTCATGAGGAAGTGCAGCGAATGTTTACCAGGCTGATTCTGAGGATGGCGGGTCTGACGTATGAGGAGAGATTGACTAGGTTAGGATTGTTTTCGCTAGAGTTCAGACGAATGAGGGGGGATTCTCATAGAGGTTTATAAAACTCTAACAGGACTGGACAGGGTAGATGCAGGGAGGATGTTCCCAATGGTGGGGTGTGTCCAGAACCAGGGGTCACAGTCTGAGGATTCAGGGTAGACCATTTAGGACGGAGATGAGACAGTTCTTCACCAAAAAGTGGTGAGCCTGTGGGATTCATTTCCACAGGAAGTAGTTGATGCCAAAACATTTAATATATTCAAGAGGCGACTAGATATAGCACTTGGGGCGAAATGGATCAAAGGTTATGGGGAGAAAGCAGGATTAGGCTATTGAGTTGGATGATCAGCCATGATCGTGAAGAATGGCAGAGCAGGCTCGAAGGATCAAATGGCCTTATCCTGCTCCTATCTTCTATGTTTCAACAGCTGAATAACAAATGTTGTGAAGTTATGTCGCGTACTTGTGAATTGGAAGCAGGAAGATAGAATTTGTTGGAAAAATGATAGGGGAAAAGCGTGCATAGTCCCTTTAATAGGTGATTCTCAGCTGGGAGATTTAGACAAAAATGTCTGCAAGCAGATGCAGATGTAGAGACAGTTCTGAAATTGAAAAATATGAATCATTGACTATGTGTTTGGAAACTTAGACTTGTTTGATGTTAGGGTAACCAGTTTGAATATCAGCCAAATAATTTAAACCAGGCATTTAAAGACTGAAAACCAATTGAATTTAAATCTGATAGTGTTGACAACCCAGGACCAATCCAATTATAAGAAAATAGACATGTCATCAAGGGTATACAAGAAGAGGATTTTTGAAAATGAGGGTGAGAGCCAACTGCCATCGGAAGAGTAAAACTCTGGCTCTCACATAAATCTTTAAGCTCTCTGATTAAGCACTATTTAAAAGGTACCACGCCACTCTTAGCGAATATTGCTGACATCAGAATTCAATGGAGAGAAGTGTTTTGGACACCAAAATTCGACGGAGAAAGGCGTTCCTGGCTGAGGATCGGCAGAGGGGACGTGGAGCACTCTGGAATACACATCCTGACTGTTGTGTTGAGACGCTAAGTTTTAATTTTTTTGACATTGCTTTGGTTTATACAAATGGGATTTGTATTTATTGGAACAGCATACAATTAGAATTTTGTTTTATTTAGGAATAGTTAGTAGTTAAGGAGAAATTGTTCGTTTTAGTAGTTCTGTCAATCTGTTCGCTGTTAGAGTTAGATAAATAACTAGTTACTTGTTACTTCTCAAGTGAGTATCAGAGAGTTTGTTCCATTTAACCACCCCTCCATAACAGATTGGGAGCTGAGAGGAAGGTTACACCATTTTTCGCATTTCCTTTAGCAGATTACGAGACGAGGCAATCTTCTCTGGGTGTTTTGGATTTAGTTATCAGCAGGGTTTGACGTTCTCTCCATTACACAAGTGAAGGGATGACCTATAATTTGATTAAATGAGGCAAAGAGATAATTTTAAAAAATTAAAAATAAGCTATACGGAATGGTTTAAACTAGACTGGCAGGAGGTGTGGAACTGTAATTCAGAGGATGAGATATTCAGCAATCCAACAGACACAAGAGGGAGTGAGGTTGTTAATAAAGAAATGTGGTCGATGGACCGTAATTGTGGGCACAGAGATGGTTTGAGGTGTGTATGCTTCAAACAGAGATGGTTTGAGGTGTGTATACTTCAATGCTAGAAGTATCAGAAATAAGGCGATGAACTTAGAGCGTCGGTCGGTACTTGGAACTACGATGTTGTGGCCATTACAGCAACTTGGATAACTCAGGAGCAGGAATGGTTGTTGGGAGTTCCGGGATTTAGATGCTTTAAAAGAAATAGGGAGGGTGGAAAAAGAGGCGGCGGAGTGGCATTGCTAGTCAGGGCTAGTATAGCAGCTACTGAAAGGCAGTTTGAGAGTGATATGTCTACAGAGTCAGTTTGGGTTGAGGTCAGGAACAAGAAAGGAGCAGTCACTTTGTTGGGGGTATTTTACAGATCTCCGAATAGTCACAGAGAAGTGGGGCAGCGGATTGGGAGGCAGGTACTGGAAAGGTGCAGAAGTCGCAGGGTTGTAGTCATGGGTGACTTCAACTTTCCAAATATTGATTGGAAACTTTTTAGTTGTAATAGTTTAGATGGAACGGATTTTGTCCAGTGCGTTCAGGAAGGATTACTGACACAATATGTAGATAGACCAACATGAGGAGAGGCCACTTCGATTTTGGTGCTTGGCAATGAACCGGGCCAAGTGCTAGACCTGTTGGTAGGAGAGCATTTTGGCGGTAGCAATCATAAAGAACAAAGAACAACGAAAATTACACCACAGGAACAGGCCCTTCGGCCCTCCAAGCCTGCGCTGATCCAGATATGTTGAAGGCTGCAAAGAACATGGCGTAGTGGCTCTCCGCTCTGGGGAAGTACTGGACGACGAAGGGTAACCTATCGGTCATGTCCTGTGCCTGTCTTCTGAGGACGTTGTTGTGGTTTTTCGCTGTGGCGTGTCAGAACTGACAATCCATCGGTGGAGCATTGTATCCTGTTCTTATGAGAGCGTCCTTCAAATCCTTTAGGTGTCCATTGCGTTCCTCCACATCTGAATAGATCCTGTGTATGTGTAGGGTTTGTCCGTAGGGGATGGCTTCTTTAATATATTTAGGGTGGAAGCTAGAGAGGTGCAGGTTATCTGTGGGCTTGTAGTAGAGTGAGGTACTGAGGTGTCTGTCCTTAATGGAGATGCTTGTGTCCAAGAATGAGATTGATTCTAAAGAGTAGTCCATGGTAAGTCTGATGGCGGGATGGAATCTGTTGATATTGCAATGTGGTCATTTCAGTGATTCCTTGCTGTGAGTCCAAAGGAAGAAAATGTAATCAGTGTATCTGGTGAATAGCATTGATCGGGGGTCCTGCGCAGCAAGGAAATCTTGGTCAAACATGTGCATGAAAATGTTGGCATGGGGGGCAGATGTAATCATCATCGCTGTTTTGTGAGTCCGGATGAAGAGCTGGTTGTCAAAGGTGAAGCAGATGAGTTGTAGGATGGTGTCTGGAAATTGGCAGTTGTTGGTATTTAGTACTGAAGCTGTTGCAGTAATGCTGTCATCGTGGGGGATACTGGTGTAGAGTGCCAAAATGTCCATTGTGACAAGGATTGTTCCTGGTTCAAGTGGTCCATGGGTGCTGAGTTTCTGTAGGAAGTCTGTAGTGTTGCAACAGAAGCTGGGGATTCCTTGTACAATGGGTTTCAAGGTGCCCTCAACATGGCCAGAGATGTTCTCACACAGGGTCCCATTGCCTGATACGATGGGACATCCAGGTGTGTTAGCTTTTGGAAGGCAGTAGAAGTCTCCTGTATGAGCAGTACAGGGGATGAGAGTGCACAGGATACTCTGAAGGTCTGGATCAAAGCTCTTGACCAGTCTGTTCAGTTGATGGGTGTGGCATCACCTCAAAATAAAGGGAAGCAGATGTAGGACTGAGGTCAGGAGGAACTTCTTCACCCAAAGGGTTGTGAATCTGTGGAATTCCCTGCCCAGTGAAGTGGTTGAAGCTACCTCGCTGAATGTTTTTAAGGTAAGGCTAGATAAATTTTTGGACAGTAAAGGAATTAAGGGTTATGGTGAGTGGGCGGGTAAGTGGAGCTGAGTCTCAAAAAAGATCAGCCATGATCTTATTAAATGGCGGGGCAGGCTCGAGGGGCCAGATGGCCTACTCCTGCTCCTAGTTCTTATGTTCTTATGTTCTTTGATCAGATCAGCAGGTAGTTGTCTGTAATGTTCCTGGTTGTTCAGTTGTCGGTACACTTCCTTGCAGTAGTCCATTCTATTCTGTATGACAATGGCTCCTCCCTCCTTTGTCTGCTGGAAGGAATTTGTTTTCTCAGTGAGTGGTGAGGTCTGGAATTCTCCAGCCCAGAGAGTTGTAGAGGCTCGATAACTGAAAGTATTTAAACAGCAGGTAGACACCTGTTTTGCGATAGAGGTGTTGAAGATTATAACCAAAGCTGCAAATTTGTCTGTTTTATTCCTGAAAGGCCTGGCTCTGTTCTGAAGTGAATGCCTCATTTCCTAGATTCCCCACTTCAATGTAAATAGAAAGAAACTATCAACTTTATCAAACTCTTTAATCATCTCAAACACCTTGATAAGATCACTGTTACCTTTCTAAACTTGAGAGAGTTCATGTTGAGTTTATAAACACTGGCCTCGTAAGTCCACTCTTTCCAGGCCCAAGATGATTCAGTGGAATTGGTTGTGTATTTGCTTCAAGACAATTAGTTGGGTGCTAAGCCTGGATCTGAACATTCTTACACAAGATAGCAACTGACCAAAGCTTTGTACAACTGGCAGGTAAGACCCACCTTGTTTTATTTGTGGTTTTATCCTGGTGAGTCTGACAGTTTGCATTAATTGGTAGAATTGAACTGATTCTTCCAGCAGTCCCAGGGTTGAAGGCTCACTCCAGGTTGTGAATGGACCCAGACAAATTTAACCTCTAACAGTAACAGAGCATTCGTGTTTGGTAAAGGCATTGTATGTAAATCACACCAGAATCAGTTCATATACATGGAACTGAGAATCTTTCCTTGTGAGAGGGGAGTTCAACATTGGCTAATGTTCTTCATCTTTTCGCAGTTTGGTGACTCTCAGCAACTGAGGATGGTGCGGATTCTCCGCAGCACAGTTATGGTGCGAGTGGGAGGGGGATGGAGTCCACTTGATGAGTTCCTCGTGAAGAATGATCCTTGCAGAGGTTGGTAGGAGTCACGGATGTGGCCATTCTTACTAAAGATTCAAAAACATAGGTAGGCAGTACTATTTTCACCCATTCAGGGCCGAGGGAGAGCCGTGCTGTCAGACAGTCAGGGCTGAGGGAGCGCCTCAATGTTGGAAGGTTCATTCTGAGGGAGCACCGCACTTTCGGAGGGTCAGTACTGAGTGAGCGCTGTGCTGCTGGAGGGTATCAACGAGACTGTTACCTCTTCCAAAAATCTCCAGCAAGCTAATTAAACATGATTTTCTTTTTAGAAATCCGTGCTGACTCTTTGTAAGCAGGTAAAAAAGCAAATGGGTTGTTTGCCTTCATAGCAAGAGGATTCAAGTACAGGAGCAGGGATGTCTTGCTGCAATTACTCTTATTCATTCATGGGATGAGGGCTAGGCAGCATTTATTGTCCATCCCTAATTGCCCAGAGGGCTGTTGAGAGTCAACCACATTTGCTGTGGGTCTGGAGTCACATGTAGGCCAGACCAGGTAAGGATGGCAGTTTTCTTCCCTACAGGGCATTAGTGAACAGGATGGGTTTTTCTGACAATCGACAATGGATTCATAGTTATCATTAGATTCTTAATTTCAGACATTTTTATTGAATTCAAATAAATAAATGGATTAACAGTCCAGCGATAATACTACTAGGCTATCGCCTCCCCTCTGATACAGGGCATTGGTGAGACCACACCTGAGGAAGGATGTTCTGGCGATGGAGGGAATGATTACCAGACTGATTCCTGGGATGGCAGGATGACATATGAGGAAGAGACTGGATCGGTTATGATGATATTCACTAGAGTTTAGAAGAATGGTGGTGGGTTGGGGGAGATCTCATAGAAACTTATAAAATTCTAACATATCTTAACATGGTAAAGGCAGGATATTCCCAGTGGTGGGCACTCCAGAACCAGGGGTCATAGTGGAAGGCTACAGGGTAAACCAATCAGAACTGAGATGAAGAGACATGTCTTCACCCAGAGAGTGGGGAGCCTGTGGAATTCTCTGCCACAGAAGGTGGTTGAGGCCAAAACACAGACTTGTTTTCAAGAAGGAGTTGGATATAGTTCTAAAGACTAAATGGATCAAAGGGTATTGGGTAAAAGTGAGAACAGGGTACTGAGTTCAATGATCAAACTGAATGACAGAACAGGCTCAAATGGCCAAATGGCCGCATTTTGCTGTTTTCTCTGAGTTGACTAATTTCATTTTCCACTGCTATCCTAAACTTTACATGAGATGAATATTTTCCACTAAGTCTTCCCCCACTGAAGATAGAGTGGATAGAGCAGATAGAATAGATAGCCACAGACTTTTTCCCAAGGCGGAAATGACAGTTACGAGGGGGCATAATTTTAAGGTGATTGGAGGAAGGTATAGGGGAGATGTCAGAGGTAGGTTCTTTACACAGAGAGTGGTGGACGTGTGAAATGCGCTGCCAGCAGTGGTAGTGGAGTCAGATACTTTAGAGACTTTTAAGCGACTCTTGGATAGGCACATGGAGGATAGTAAAATGTAGGGTATGCAGGGTAGTTTGATCTTAGTAGGATAATCGGTCGGCACAACATTGTGGGCTGAAGGGCCTGTGCTGTGCTGTACAGTTCTATGTTCTATGTTGAAACTATTGCCTTTGCCCACACTATTCCCAGAGCTAGCTGCTGTGTTGTGGTGTGAGCTGATGTTCTCCTTACACAAGTCAGATCTTAGGCTGGAATCTGGCTGAAAATATTTCTTTTTCTATTTGATTTTGATGAGATTGCCTCTCTCTGAAACATGACCAGGCAATGTTACAAATTTGGTGTAAACAGTAGAACAGAAATTTATTCCATTATTTCCTTATCTCCTCCCTCTGTCTACAGTATAAAAACCTACATTATCTGAACCCTTTACATTCTGGCTAACAGACATATTGGACTCAAAATATTAACTCTCACAGAATCATACAGTACAGAAGAGGCCCTTTGGCCCATCAAGACTGTACTGGCAAAAATATAGTAAGAGGCCCACTTTCTTGAATGTTACGACACTCCCAGTGGCTCATCCAGGCACGTTTTAAAGATTGTGAAGTTTCTCACCTCAACTCCCCTCTCCGGGAATGCATTCCAGACTGCTGCCACTCTCTAGGAGAAAAACTTTTCCTCAAATCCCTTCTGAAATTTAGAAGGAACTCTATTATTCCAGAAGTGTTGTAACTGGTCAGTTCGACAACTGTTTCATATGTGAGTCCCAGGTCTTTATAGAATTCCTGGATGAAAAATGTTTTTAAAATGGATTTTGCTTGAATTCTGAAGTCACGTCATTCCAGGAGGCTCTGAGGAATGTTCACTTATTTCTTATAAGCTGGGATTCTTTCGTCATAACATTCTGGTTTTATATTTAGTTGAAGAATGATTGAAAGAGTAAAAACTCACAGCTTTCTAGTCCAGCAGCTTCCAAGCAAACAGCCTTCTGCCAAACAAACCCATTCAGTCAGTCATCACCAGTTCAATTATGGTTTCTCCTTATGATTGACTGGCCAGCACTGACTTCCCTTTGATTGACCAATCATATTGTGTTGCTGAAACATCTGCACTGTTCTTAGATCAATGATGAACCTTTTTTTTATTTATTTGTGGGATGGGGGCGTCGGTGGTTGGGCCCAGCATTTATTGCCCGTCCCTAGCTGCCCCATGAGAAGGTGGTGGTGAGCTGCCTTCTTGAACGCCTGCAGTCTATGTGCTGTGGGTTGACCCACAATGCCCTGAGGGAGGGAATTCCAGGATTTTGACCCAGTCACAGTGAAGGAACGGCGATATATTTCCAAGTCAGGATGGTGAGTGACTTGGAGGGGAACTTGCACGTGTTGTTGTTCCCATGTATCTGCTGCCCTTGTCCTTCTAGATGGAAGTGGTCGTGGCTTTGGAAGGTGCTGCCTGAGGATCTTTGGTGAATTTCTGCAGAGCATCTTGTAGATCGTACACACTGCTGCTACTGAGCGTTGGTGGTGAAGGGAGTGGATGTTTGTGGATGTGGTGCCAATCAAGCGGCTGCTTTGTCCTGGATGGTGTCAAGCTTCTTGAGTGTTGTTGGGGCTGCACTCATCCAGGCAAGTGGGGAGTAGTCCATCACACTCTTGACTTGTGCCTTGTAGATGGTGGACAGGCTTTGATGAGTCAGGAGGTGAGTTACTCGCTGCAGTATTCCCAGCTTCTGGCCTGGCCTTGTAGCCACTGTGTTTATGTGGTGAGTCCAGTTGAGTTTCTGGTCAATGATAACCCCCAGGATGTTGATGGTGGGGGATTCAGTGATGGTAACACCAATGAATGTCAAGGGGCGGTGGTTAGATTGTCTCTTATTGGTGATGGTCATAGCCTGGCATTTGTGTGGTGTGAATGTCACTTGCCACTCATCAGCCCAAGCCTGCAATCACCTTTCCAGATCAGTTCCCATGCTCAAATATCAAATTCTTTACTCTTTTATTTTAAGACAAGCTGCTGTTCAAAGTTTGATTCTCAACTTCAGCTCACAGTTCCAAACTAAAACTTAGAAAAATTAAAGAGAAGCAGTGATGGTCTCAACAATGAGATTTAGCATAACATTCCAGCCTGTAAGCCAAGTGCTGGAAAGTGGGATTAATGTAGATAAGTTAGCACAGACATAATGAACTGAAAGGCTTCTTCTATGCAAATTAACTATTTCCCTCTCTTAATAAATCTTTGCATCCTCTTTTGCTGAATTTTAAACAGCTGTCAATGCTCAGGTTGCTGCTTTGTCTGCCAATTTTGTATGTCACCTCTTTCCATCCAATACTATCCCTAATCTCTTTAGTAAACCATGGTTGAACCACCTCTCTTCTGTGATTTTTGTGCCAGATAGGGATTAATAATTATTGTAGTTCATGCACATGATCCTTTCCTATCCAATACAAGTGCCTTTTAATCACTTTTCCTAATCCATCATTGCCAACTCCTTTTATTTAAATCCAGGACTGCTCCTTTGTATTTCCTAGTGTCCTACCACTCAATGTGTGTTTTTTTGCCTTGCCAGTCCTCCCAAAATTCATCACCTTTCACTTTCAAGAGTGAATTGCATTTTCCACTGTTCAGCCCATCTACATCATTCTATTTTCTAAGGCATTTCTCTCACTAATTAGAGTACCAACAATTTTCATGTAATCTGCAAACTGACTGCTCAAGTCTCCTATTCATGCCTAGATCATTAATATACACAGAAAACAGCAGTGGCATTCTCTCTCAGATCTTTTGTTTCATCAGTAAGAATGGAGGATTCTTTTTGTTAACAATGCATCTTAATTTGAACAGTGAAAGGCCGGACCAACGTTAAAATTAAGGAGAAGTACCTGGCACCCGACAGCTATAGAATTGGCACGGTGAAATCAGCTGGGAACCAGACATGGCCCCACTCCCAGGAGGGCTCGCCAAACAGAAAGAACTCGAGTGTAGCCTCCTTCAACTCAGCACCCAACAGCCCACTACCACAAAAGGTACGTTTCTTTATCCCAGTGGCTAAACAGTGATGATTGGCATTAAACCCCTTGAATCTGTGGAAATCCATCTGCAGTAATTACATGACACCTTCTGCTTATTTGCATTCCCATTGCTTCAATGTTGGAGTGCGATGCTGTTCAGAGGATTGGTGTGGACCAGATGGGCTGAATGGCCTGCTTCCACACCGTAGAGATTCTATGATTTAACTTAGTCCATAATTTCTCGAGAAACTGAACCCACCTCTTCCACTATTTAGTTTAAAAACCTTTCCACATCCACTTATAAACTGCAACCCTGCGACCCCGACTCCCCAGACAGACTTGGAAAAGCAGGTCATGGATGAAGGAAAACTGGAAGGTACTTCAGATTTATTATGAATGAGTTGTTGAGATGATTCTTATGCTGGGCAGAACATTGCAATTCAATCCTATTTCTCTGCAAACTTCCACCAGTTTGCAAGAAACACGGTGGCTGGTTCACTAAGCAGTTAAAAGTCACAGCTTACAGCAACTGCTGAAAGAAAGATAAGCTGTGGAGAAAAGGGAGAGCTCCTGAGCTGGTGAAGATCAAACTCTAATGTGTCCCTACCCCCAAAGATGTTCAATAAACTCCACTCCAATACAATCCTAATCAATCCAGTCTGTCTTTGTACATCAGTCTGATAAACCCTTCACTGCACTCCCTCCATCGCCAGAACTTCCTTCTTCAGAAAAGGAGACCAAAACTCCACACAATATTCCAGGCGTGGTCTCACCAAGGCCCTGTATAACTGCAACAACACATTACTGCTCCTGTACTCGAAACCTCTCGCAATGAAGGACAACATACCATTTACCTTCTTTACCACCTGCTGTACCTGCATGCCTACCTTCAGCATCTGGTGCACAAGGACATCCAGGTCTTATTTCACCTCCCCCTTTCCCAATCTATCACTATTCAGTTATTAACCTGCCTTTCTGTTTTTGCTCCCAAAGTGGATAGCCTCACATTTATCCATATTATATGACATCTGCCCTGAATTTACCCACTCACTCAGCCTGTCCAAATCACACTGCAACATCTCCGCATCTTCCTCACAGCTCACCTCTCCCCCACCCAGCTGTGTGCCACCTGTAAACTTGAAGATATTGCATCTCGTTCTCTTACTTTAAATCATTAGTGTATATTATGAATAACTGGGGTCCTAGCACTGATCCCTCCTGTACGTCACTAGTCACTATCTAACATTAGAAAGAAAACCCATTTATTGCTAAATAAAAACAGAAAGAACTGCGGATGCTGTAAATCAGAAACAAAAACAGAAGTTGCTGGGAAACCTCAGCAGGTCTGGCAGCATCTGTGAAGTAAAAATCAGAGTTAATGTTTCGGGTCCGGTGACCCTTCCTCAGTTCTGAGCTTTTCCAGCAACTTCTGTTCTTGTTTCTCATTTATTGCTGATATGCTGTGTGCAAACCAATTTTCTATCTGTCTCAAAACACTATCCCAATCCAGCACTTTAATTCTATGCACTAACCTGTTACATGGACTAAAGGGTCTGTTCTGTGCTGTACTATTCTTTGTATTGATTTTTTCAAAAGTCTCCTGATAGTCTAAATAAACCATACCCAATGCCTCCTCAACCACCATCAACTCTATTAGTTACACTCTCAAAGAATTCAAGATTTGTCCAGCATCACTTCCCTTTTGTAAACCCTATTACCAATGGGGGCCACAGTGGCTGAGTGGTTAGCATTCCTGCCTCACACCGCCAGGTTTGATGCCAGTCTCAGGCAACTGTGTGCAGTTTGCATGTTCTTTCCGTGTCTGTGTGGGTTTCCTCCCATACTGCAAAGATGGACAGGTTAGATGGATAAGCCATGGGAAATGTGGTGTTACAGGGATGTGGGCAAACTGCATTTGTATGGGATGTTCTTTGGAGGGTTGGTGCAGACATGATGGGCTGAATGGCCTCTTTCTGTACTGTAGATGTTCTATCACTCTAACGCTCTACCCCAGAGGGCTGTGGAAACTCATTCTTTGAGTATGTTTAGAGATTTGATGAACCATGGTGTACAGGGTTATGGGATGGGATGTGTAAGAAAGGAATTGAATTGTTGAATCATCTGTGATTGTACTCTATTCCGATTCCCTTATGACGATGTCTATGGTTCCGTGAAGTCTGGAGCAAACTGCAAAGTGGACTCAACTTTTTCATCCACTTCGATATGCTTTGAAGAATTTATTACCAGTGCAGCAACTTCAGGTGACAAGGTGCATCTAGTGAAATGTTTCTAACCTGGGTTATTTTATTCCATTGCAGAAAATAGAGAGAAGCATAAAAAAGGAATGAGGAGCTGATTCCAGAGACATCCTTCATTCTATGCCTTCACTCTCCACCTCCACACTCTCCTCAATGTTTCTCAATAATACTGTGATTTGAAAATGACTTTTTAAATTGCACAGGTTATTTTACATTGATGTGTAGGTGAGGAAAATGCAAAACTGAATAATATTAAAATCTTTATTATTCAGCATTGTTTGTTCAAAAGCGTGGAATCTTGTGGCTTTATTCGCAATTTCCCTGCATCTCTCACTTTGATAGAAAGAGGGAACAGGTTCTGCTGAAGGAATTATGAGTAGCTCGGAGCTAAATTAGAACAAAGAACAAGAACAAAGAAAATTACAGCACAGGAACAGGCCCTTCGGTCCTCCAAGCCTGCGCCGATCCAGATCCTCTATCTAAACCTGTCACCTATTTTCCAAGGATCTGTATCCCTCTGCTCCCTGCCCATTCACGTAACTGTCTAGATACATCTTAAATGACGCTATCGTGCCCGCCTCTACCACCTCCGCTGGCAACGCGTTCCAGGCACCCACCACCCTCTGCGTAAAGAACTTTCCATGCATATCTCCCTTAAACTTTTCCCCTCTCACCTTGAAATCGTGACCCCTAGTAATTGAGTCCCCCACTCTGGGAAAAAGCTTCTTGCTATCCACCCTGTCTATACCTCTCATGATTTTGTAGACCTCAATCAGGTCCCCCCTCAACCTTCGTCTTTCTAATGTAAATAATCCTAATCTACTCAACCTCTCTTCATAGCTAGAGCCCTCCATACCAGGCAACATCCTGGTGAACCTCCTCTGCGCCCTCTCCAAAGCATCCACATCCTTTTGGTAATGTGGCGACCAGAACTGTATGCAGTATTCCAAATGTGGTTGAATCAAAGTCCTATACAACTGTAACATGACCTGCCAACTCTTGTACTCAATACCCCGTCCGATGAATGAAAGCATGCCGTATGCCTTCTTGACCACTGTATCAACCTGCATTGCCACCTTCAGGGTACAATGGACCTGAACACACAGATCTTTCTGTGCATCAATGCGGAACCAAAAACACAACAGTCTCCAGATTGCTACCTGAGCCACAAGTTAACTGATCAACAAGATTAAAGAGGTAAAAAAGTAGGTCAAATTTTGGGGTGGGAGAAATGGGTTTAAATTCAGGGGACATTGGAACCAGTACTGGGGGAGGAGGGTTAGGGTTAGGGTTAGGGTTAGGGTTAGCGGTTAGGGGTTAGGGTTAGTCTCCTGCGACAGGGTTAGGGTTAGGGTTAGGGTTAGGGTTAGGGTTAGTCTCCTGCGATAGGGTTAGGGTTAGGGTTAGGGTTAGGGTTAGGGTTAGGGTTGGGGGTGGGGGATGGTTAGGGTTAGGGTTAGGGTTAGGGTTAGGGTTAGGGTTAGGGTTAGTCTGCGATAGGGTTAGGGTTAGGGTTAGGGTTAGGGTTAGGGTTAG